GTTAGCGCTGGTTATTAATAGTTTTTCCTTAATCTAGCAACTATTCCATTCCTTGGTTCCGCTAGGTCTAACCTTTACGTCTAAGATTCGCAACATAGTAGCAAACCACCCAGATTCCCTGTGTATTCCCTCGGTGAGAATGTAAGTTCCACTCGAACAGCTTCTTCACGCGAACCACTGTCCTGTGACACAGACTCCCAGGAGGATGTTTCCCCGATCACTACAATCTTAACGAATTCAAGGCTTGAGTTAACGGTTATCCATTCCTCCTGTCCATATAACCTACTACTTTCCGTAACCCTCTACCTCGAGAGGCCCCCGGGCTTTGTACTAGGTGAACCTTGATGGAAAAAAAAATATAGATAAGGATGGTAAATAACAATAAAAAAGAAAATATATTTTTCATAAAATAGTTAAACAATTATACAATACTTCCATGATGCATTAGAACAGGTGTTTTACTGCCAAATATGAAAATCCCTCTCTCTCTCTCTCTCTCTGTTTTCGACGGCCAAAGGAGGCAGACGCCCAGGACAGTTCTCTGATAGAAATGTGGCTACCAACAGATAAGCGCAAACTTTTTATTTCTGTATACGAATAGGTTCTTTAAGATATACAATCATTTCTCTGAAATCTTCCTTATTATAAAACGTAGATTGTTTGTGTGTGTGTGTGTGTGTGTGTGTGTGTGTGTGTGTGTGTGTGTACGTTTATATATTGAATCGGATTTCCTACATTTTTCAACCGATTTCAACAAAACTTCACAGGACTAGGTAAAATTACCTTGCGGTGGTTCTGACAGCGCCAAAAATTGGAAAAGTACAATTGTTTTTGCACGAAATCAATTTGAAAACACGATAAAACACGATTCTGTCGCCAGAATGAAAGGGGGACAACTCATATCGAGTTATACTTATTATAAAAACCAGGTTTGTGTGTGTGTGTGTGTGTGTGTGTGTGTGTGTGTGTGTGTGTGTGTGTGTGTGTGTGTACGTTTATATATGGGATCGGATTTCCTACATTTTTCAACCGATTTCAACAAAACTTCACTTTTTTTGGCAGGTAGTGTTTCTTATTGTCTTGCACATTTTTTCTTTATTTTTACATTCAGAATGCTTTAAAAATCCCATTTACAAGACAATTGTTTATAATAAAATTCTATTTAAGCAGTAGACTCATAACGATTTGATGAATTCGTAAAAAAAACAAAAAAAACAAAAAAAAACAAAAAAAAAATTAAGACATACGTGTCCGTCAACCTTAAACAATAATCTTTGTCAATTTCATTTTTCAGTTTTTATGATGGTCGATACTTCATCTATCTCTTACTGTTACATCCCCGGGCAACGCCGGGCTCTACCGCTAAAGCATTTTATTGTTTTTTTCTATACATATTGCGTTGTATTTTATATATGATTTGTTTGGGATTTTTATAATTCTGCAGTGGGTTGATGATGTCTTTTTAACCACCAAACTAAATGACATATATAAAAAAATGGAGTCCTTTCAGATAAGGCCAACGCATTACCAGAACAACCCACGTCAACCTAATTCGCTTTCTTTGTCCCAGTGAAATGAAGAGTGAGGAAACACCATTGTGGCTTAAAATAAATAACACATAAATTCTAACTTCACTTGTTTACAAGCCAACGTATTAATTTGTTTCTGTTTTAGTTAAGCAAGTAAAACCAAATTTTCTTGCTGGCGTTCTCCTGACGTCACCATCCACAGTTGTTTTGTATACAAAGCGTATGGCCTGTTAGAGACCGGGCAAATAAACTGCCGGCACATAGATATTCAATTATTTTGAAGAGAATGGTGACTCACAATGGACAAGGTAAAAACATAAATAGAAAAATAAAATAAAATTACTTGTCAGAAGGAATAATAGGATGGAAATAAAAAAGGAGAGACAGAAAGGAGTCCTCCTGCCGTGAAGAATTAATCACGTGGTATTGATGAATGAAGCATATGACTAAAAACAAACAAAAAATCAAACAAAACAATAACAGTTAAAAAAAAAAAAGGAAAATGTGTGGAGGGGGGAATTTCTCGTCTTTATAGGCATCGAGCGATTCAAACGGTCGGATCACGTGACGATTATTAGAAAATTTGATTTTACGGAGGGCGATTTTTACTTTTGTCTTCTGGAACTGAGCACCGCGAAAAGGAAAACGGGTGAAACTCACGTATTGAACTTCCGGTCCATTTAAGAAAGAAAGAAAGAAAGAAAGAAAGAAAGAAAGAAAGAAAGAAAGAAACTAGGATAGATAGATAGATAGATAGATAGATAGATAGATAGATAGATAGATAGAAAAACTGGCTAAGGTAAGAAAGAAAGAAAGAAAGAAAGAAAGAAAGAAAGAGACTAGGTTAGATAGATAGATAGATAGATAGATAGATAAATAGATAGATAGATAGATAGATAGATAGATAGATATAAAAATTTGCTAAAGAAAGAAAGACACGGGGTTAGATAGATAGATAGATAGATAGATAGATAGATAGATAGATAGATAGATAAACAGATAGATAGATAGATAGAAAAATTGGCTAAGGTAAGAAAGAAAGAAAGAAAGAATGAAAGAAAGAAAGAAATAGACTAGGTTAGATAGATAGATAGATAGATATAAAAATTGGCTAAAGAAAGAAATAAAAAAAGACACTGGGTTAGATAGATAGATAGATAGATAGATAGATAGATAGATAGATAGATAGATAGAAAAACTGAAGGAAAGACAGAAAGAAAGAAAGAAAGACTTTTAGAGAAGGGACAAAAATGAACGAGAAAAGATGTATAAAGTAGAACTATAATACAAAGAAAGAAAGAAAGAAAGAAAGAAAGAAAGAAAGAAAGAAAGAATTTTAGAGAAAGGACAAAAACGAACGATATAAGATGTATAAAGTAGAATTATAATACAAAGAAAGAAAGAAAGAAAGAAAGAAAGAAAGAATTTTAGAGAAAGGACAAAAACGAACGATATGAGATGTATAAAGCAGAAGAAAGAAAGAAAGAAAGAAAGAAAGAAAGAAAGAAAGAAAGAATTTTAGAGAAGGGACAAAAACGAACGATATAAGATGTATAAAGTAGAATTATAATACAAAGAAAGAAAGAAAGAAAGAAAGAAAGAAAGAAAGAAAGAAAGAAAGAAAGAATTTTAGAGAAAGGACAAAAACGAACGATATAAGATGTATAAAGCAGAAGAAAGAAAGAAAGAAAGAAAGAAAGAAAGAAAGAAAGAAAGAAAGAAAGAAAGAAAAAGAATTTTAGAGAAGGGACAAAAAACGAACGATATAAGATGGAAAAAAGAAGAAGTAAGAAAGAAAGAAAGAAAGAAAGAAAGAAGAAAGAATTTTAGAGAAGGAAAAAAACGAACGATATAAGATGTATAAAGGAGAATTATAATACAAAGAAAGAAAGAAAGAAAGAAAGAAAGAAAGAAAGAAAGAAAGAATTTTAGAGAAGGGACAAAAACGAACGATATAAGATGTATAAAGTAGAACTATAACAGAAAGAAAGAAAAAAAGAAAGAAAGAAAGCCTTTTAGAGAAGGGACAAAAACGAACGATATAAGATGTATAAAGTAGAACTATAACAGAAAGAAAGAAAAAAGAAAGAAAGAAAGACTTTTAGAGAAGGGACAAAAACGAACGATATAAGATGTATAAAGCAGAAGTATGAAAGAAAGAAAGAAAGAAAGAATTTTAGAGAAGGGACAAAAACGAACGAGAAAAGATGTATAAAGTAGAATTATAATACAAAGAAAGAAAGAAAGAAAGAAAGAAAGAAAGAAAGAAAGACTTTTAGAGAAGGGACAAAAACGAACGATATAAGATGTATAAAGTAGAAGTATGAAAGAAAGAAAGAAAGAAAGAAAGAAAGAAAGAAAGAAAGAATTTTAGAGAAGGGACAAAAACGAACGATATAAGATGTATAAAGTAGAAAGTAGAGAAATAACAGAAAGAAAGAAAAAAAGAAAGACAAAAACAAACGATTTTAGAGAAGGGACAAAAACGAACGATATAAGATGTAGAAAAAGCAGAAAGAAAAGAAGAAAGAAAGAAAACGAAAGAAAGAAAGAAAGAAAGAAAGAAAGAAAGAAAAGAAAGAAAGAAGAGGGACAAAATCGAACGATATAAGATGTATAAAGTAGAACTATAACAGAAAGAAAAAAAAAAGAAAGAAAGAAAGACTTTTAGAGAAGGGAAAAAAACGAACGATATAAGATGTATAAAGCAGAAGTATGAAAGAAAGAAAGAAAAGAAAGAAAGAAAGAAAGAAAGAATTTTAGAGAAGGGAAAAACGAACGATATAAGATGTATAAAGTAGAAGAAAAGAAAGAAAGAAAGAAAGAAAGAAAGAAAGAAAGAAAGAAAGAAAGAAAGAAAGAAAGAATTTTAGAGAAGGGACAAAAACGAACGATATAAGATGTATAAAGTAGAACTATAACAGAAAGAAAGAAAGAAAGACAGAAAGAAAGAATTTTAGAGAAGGGACAAAAACGAACGATATAAGATGTATAAAGCAGAAGTATGAAAGAAAGAAAGAAAGAAAGAAAGAAAGAAAGAAAGAAAGAAAGACAGAAAGAAAGAATTTTAGAGAAGGGACAAAAACGAACGATATAAGATGTATAAAGTAGAACTATAACAGAAAGAAAGAAAAAAAGAAAGAAACAAAGACTTTTAGAGAAGGGACAAAAACGAACGATATAAGATGTATAAAGAAAGAAAGAATGAAAGAAAGAAAGAAAAGAAAGAAAAAAGAAAGAAAGAAAAAAGAAAGAAAGAAAGAAAAAGAATTTTAGAGAAGGGACAAAAACGAACGATATAAGATGTATAAAGTAGAACTATAACAGAAAGAAAGAAAAAAAGAAAGAAAGAAAGACTTTTAGAGAAGGGACAAAAACGAACGATATAAGATGTATAAAGCAGAAGTATGAAAGAAAGAAAGAAAGAAAGAAAGAAAGAAAGAAAGAAAGAAAGAATTTTAGAGAAGGGAC